TTTGGAGCTGATGAGGAGTCACTGGAGAGTTTTAACCCATTTATGCCAGAGGTTACAAATTTTTTTGTGTGAAAAATCAGACCTTGGCGATGACCTTGAGCAGTAGGATAGAAATAACTCCCACAAGCTTAGCGTTCCAATAATGGAACACTAGGCATAAATGGGTTAAGCTAACTTGCACTTTGAGCAGTTCCCTGTTGATCCTTTAGGAAGGAAAATTGGGAGAAGAAATTAAGGGTGTGAGCAGAGGTGATACATGATAGAATAAGGAATGGAGAACGGAGTCAGTAAAATTTGGTGAGAGTGACGACACACCAGGAAGATACATTTAGCTGTCAGTGTAGAGATTTGAAATAGTCTGGGACTTGCAAGTTGGAGATACTGGCAATCTGCAGCGGCTCAGTTGTTGGTTAGGCATCTCTAGCACAGGGTTTCTAGAACTCATTGTTGATGGTTTGGTTGATTGATACTTTTGTGCTGTAGGGGGTCTGTCCTGTGTAATCCCAGCAGCATCCCTGGCCTCTGTCCACTGGATGCTAGTGCATATACCCCACTCCAACTGGCACAACCAAAAATGTCTTCAGGTATTGCCGAATATTCCCTGAGGGGGCCAAATGATTGAGAACCATTGCTTGAGCAAGCCGAAGCTAGGAGCCTGGAGAGACTGCCTAGGTAATGTACAGCTTAAGCAAGGGCTAGGAGCTGCCATCCAAGGAGCAGGAGGGAAGACATGGAGAATGGAGCACGGACGGCCAGAGAAGAGCAAGAGTACTTTGCGGTGGGGATGAGGGCAGGACTGGAAAAGCTTCATTGGATTTGGGAGCTGGAAGGTTGTTAGGGCAGTGGCCACTACAGTTGAGGTGGGAGGGCAGGAGGCAGAGACAAGCAAGTATAGATTTTAAGAAACCTGGCTATGAGGGAAGTGGGCAAGCAAGGCCAATGGTCAGAGGGGACTATGGCAGGAAGTGCAGTTGTGCTGGGCCACTCAGACTATGGTTCCAACCTTGGGCACCTGTTGTCTCCTGCTCACGAGGTCAGCAAGCATGCACCGCAGGCTGAGTGGACCTTCTTTGGCAGGCCCTGCTGCAAACCAAGCTGATTTCCAGGGCCTTGATAATTCTCAGTGGGGAGGCAGTGGCTCAGACCGAATGCCAAGAGCCCCAAAGTGTCTGCACCTCTTCTGAATTCCAAGTCCCAGGGGCAGGGGTTGAGTAGTGAAAGGGTGAAGAGCCACGGGCTACCAGAATAAGCCCAGAACGCAGCTCCCATGTCTGAGCTGCCCCAACAGTTGTGACAAGCAGAGCCTGTGTGGAGGGGGCGCAGCAGGGGCATGGGCCCCTTGGGCCTTGGAGACTCACTCCACTGCTTAGGGATGTGCCTGATTCTGACGCTGGGATTTTAATCCTCTTCTAAGATTCATTTGGGGGGTGATGAAAGAACAGGAGAGCTGGAGCAGGCAGACATGAGGACTGGAGCCGCCCAGAATGGGCACTGACGCACTCCCAGAACAACAGACATGAGTGCTGAGTTCTCTGCCCTCCCCATTTGATAGGTGAAGAGAGATGGGCTCAGAGAGACGGCTGGGATGCTGACTCGTACTTCTGTCAGTAACCACAGGGTGGCTGCTTAAAGATGGCCCTGTGGGCTGCAGGTAGGTATAAACTGTCAGCACTATACTGCAAGCCACACACACAGAAACTCAAAAGGGTTCAAGGTCAGGCCATACCCTTGAATGCACATTTCACTTAACCTTCCCGAGTTCTGATCTGTGCAGTGGGTCCAGCACCTGGCTCATCAGGGCTGCTGGGCTCTCCTGTGACGCCCTTGGCTCTTTTCCTGTATTCTTCTCCCTCCAGTCGTCAGAACACCCCTGAGTTCAGTGATGTTATTCCCAAATTTGAAAGTGAAGGTGAAAGGTCTGCCTGTGACCACACCATTGGGAAGTTGAGTCTTTCCTACCACACACCATCACCTTCACCTCTTTCAGGGCCCAAGAGCAAGAAAGACAATGCTCCCTCCCTTCCTCTCTCCCAGATACACCTCAACAACCTGTCTCCTGTGCTGCTGAGCCCTGTGGCAATTGTGAACAAGAAAGCCTGGCTGTCCCTCAATCTCAGAAAGGCAAACCTGAGAAGGAGGATGGTAATAGCAGAGGGCTGGCCCGGCCGGCTCTTCTTTCAGTCAATTCTTGTTTCGTTGTAGATCCAGCCTGATGATGTATAGGGAGAAGACGGGGCCCTGAGTTACAAAGTGAGGCAAAAACAGGCAGCGCCATTGCCCACACAACTCTCCACTTACCTGGAGGCAGCAGCAGCAGCCCCTGGCCTGATTCCCCACCAGGCCACTTCCCTGGGCTGCCGGATCTTCGTCCTCGTCCCTCCAAGTGGGCTGGGACTACATTGTGGTCTTGAGCTCTCAATTACTAGGGCAGCTCAACTGCAGAAGCCCTGCAGGGGACCAGGCAGCAGGAGGAAGAACCTCAGCTTTGGGTTCCAATTGCTGCCGCCCTCTAGAAGCTCGACACCATTGGGCAGGGTCCTTTAACCCTGAGCCTCGGTTCCCGATCTGTATTGTCTGTCCGGGTATTACTGACCCCGGGAACAGGTGTGACGATTTAAGAGGTCAGCACTCAACATGACATCACTTACCACTCACTGTGCCAGGCTGCCAGGTTCATGTTGAGGAAACTTCACACCACAGAGAGGCAGGGTTTTAAGGATCATTAATAGGATCACAAATTAGGCCCTGGCCTCACCCAAATCACTGTCCATTATCAGGAGCCACCCACCCCCTTCAAACGTCCTCGGCCCCTCCATCCCTTTGCATGAATGGAAGAACCTGTAACATGTACTGAACTAGAGCCTTAAGGGCCACGAAAAGGGAGCCTGCACTTGAACCTTTCACCAAAGCTGTATCCTTCATTTTACCAGAGTGGGTCCTGCACAGAACAGTCCATTACTGTGTGTGACAGAAGCATTTGTTTTTATTTATCCAAATGGGGAAAATGCAACATGTCAGGGCATTACAGACAAACTGCAGCAGCCAGACAAGAGGGTCAGTCTATGGCAGAGTCCAACATACTCAGCGCGAAGGAGCCACAGTGTGGGTGCTGCCTGGAGGACTTGTGGCAGCAGGGTCCCTTTGGATGAAGGCCAGGCATCTCTGGGCGAGGCACTGATGACCGTCCACATGTGCAGGCTGCTGCTTCAGTCACGCTGAAGGTTTAAAGTTCAGAGTCCTACATGTAATAATTGCCTCAGAGGGGAAGGGCAGTCCATGGTGGTCGTGGTTTCCAGTGTTTTTAAACATAATACACAAACTTATTGCCAAGGACTTTGCACTGCAAATTATACTATTTACACTTGCGTATTCAGAAAAACACAGTAAATAGATACATGATAGATAACTTTAAATCGATTTCTAAAAACTAACTTGGTCTTCAGTGGACCCGAGTGAGCTACAGCCAGGAGTCCAATGCCATGTGTGTGACCGTGCAGTAGGGAAAGGTTTCTATCCACGACTACGCTCAGCCGCCTCCTGCCTCCCCCACCCTTGGGGCTGCTGAAGGGCTAAGGCTGAGCAGGCCTACCTTACTCCTTAGTGTGAGAGCTTCAGGTCTAGACTGGCTGCACCTCCCACCTCCTTCCCCGACAGTTCTGCTTGGAGTGGGTGAGAAGCAAGTCCTACAGGCTCCACTCCTGCAGGACCACTGCACGGCGGGGAAACCAGGACACAAAGGCATGGGGCTGTAGGGCTAATGGTATGATGAACCTGGCCCTAGGCCGGCCCCTTCCCTGGCACCCCCTGCCAAAGCAGCCTTGGGAACAGGCCCATCAGCCTCACTGTTCCCGGAAGTACAATTGCCCTAACTGATGATTACCTTAGGAAACCTCCTTTTGAAGAAGTAGCTGGACCAACCAACCACTTAGACCAAAGGTTCAGCACAACAGCCCAGACAGATGGGTCCAGGATGAAAGGCCTGAGTCCAAGGATGCTTTGGGGAAAACAGGATGAACACTGCTAGGCGCTAAAAAGTGTATGATGTCTGCCCAAGGAAAGGACAACAGCAGGGGGTTCCCACGTGGACCAGCTTTCATTTTGCCTCCATAAGCCCTGGTATGCTGGGAAGGACGTCCACCTGGAGGCTGGAGACAGCTCCTCAGAGAGCCAGAGCAACCCTTGATTCCTGGGAGGCAGAGAGCGAGGCCCTCTGGTTGGATGCCTACAATTTGGCTCCCCAGCAGCATTTCTAAAAATGAGCTGCCCTCCCTAGGAAAGGTAGTAAAGTAGTAGCGAAGCATCTCCCACAGCCATGGTAGGTTCCATCCCTGAGAAGCTGCCATATTAAGTGAGCTAAAGGAAAAGCAGTGCTCAGTACCCCATCTAAGAAATGGGGGTGCAGAGTGAACGGAACCTGATTGTGCAAGGCTGGCCTGAGCATGAAAAGTGATCGGGGGTAGGTAGAGGGATGCATCTAATGGCAGCACCTCTGGCCTACTGTTGGGACAGAAGAGGTATTTTTTGCAACCAGGGCTTGCCTGGTTACTTCCAAATCATACCTCATGCACCGGCTGCCATCACTACCTTGGGGGTCAGGACTGCAGCCTAAGGGAGCCAGTGAATTGATACCTGCACACAAGGAGGCTTGGTAAGTGACATGAAAGTGCCTTGGAAATGTGTGTGTCTGGATCGAGTGTCTTGCACTGACCCACCACACCAAAATCCCTCAAGGGTGGAGAGCACAAGATACCCAGAACAGAGGAAAGAGGCTGGAAACCTAAAACACAATTTGCAAATTACAGGTGGAGAAGGAACTTCTCACCACCTCTCTCGCTAAAACTCCTGTTCTTGATCCATTTCCGTGAACAATGAAAAGAATCTGACTTGCAAAAGCAGCAGAAATATTTTGGTTAGAGTCAAGAAATGTTCTGACCATCATGTTTCCCTAAGCAGGAAAACAGGGCAGACGGCGAAGCGCCTGTGCCTGCAGGCAGAGGCAGGGGCAGGGCTGGCCTGAGCAAGGCTCTTGTCTGTAACTCCACTGCCTGACAGACAAGAGCCTTCCTGTGAAGCTGGAGACACAGTAAGTGACTTGCTGCCACATGAAAGGCCACGCCTGGCACTGCAGCCAGGGACGGGCTGCATTCTCTTTACCCAATGTCCATCTGTGCCAGGCTCCAGTTTGTCAGTTTCCCTTCCATGAACCCAGAAACTTCTCTAGAAAATGTAGCAAGTGCTCCTCCTTAGAGCTGAGAAGTTCCACACCTACCATAAGAACTTGAGAGCCACTCCATGTCCATAAGAGAGGAGACCAGGCAGCAAAATCCTAGAGGCACTTCTGTACCAGAGGGAGCCCGACAAGTCTAAAGACAGCAGCCACCCAGGGACAACTCTCTTCTGTAGCCCTCACCTGATTCTCAGAGATGAGCAAAACACAACTTCACTGAGAGTAAGCAGCACCCAGTTCCTCAAGTATACGGTGGCTTCCTGCCTCTCCAGGGCCCGCCAGGCTGCTCAGAGCACAGCACCTCTCCCTCCTGCCTTTCCCCACGCCTGGCCCGACTGCGCTGGGACAGCACCACAGGCTTCACCTCCTGACTCTGTCCTGGAGGGCCAGAAACAAGGCTGGGCCCTGTGGAAGGGGGTCACGGTGCAGCGCTGCCAGCCCATGGCTGGTCCCGCCTCGCCAGCATCTTGGGACAGCGCTGTGTGGAGCTGGCCACCACCTCCCAGCTCAGGCAGGGGGGCAAGTGCCTTGCCTTCTCCGAGCTGCATGTGATCCTCACCTCCCCCACAGGGCTGACGGGGCTTCACTGAATCAGCATCTGTGGAGGCGCTTGTATTAGGCCATCCTTCTCCAGCCTTACCTGCCCCTTCACAGCGGACACTGTGCTCCTGGCTATGCACAGCGACAGTAGCTACTCCCAACTTCTGTTCATATCAGGCTGGCGGCAGCTCACGTCCCTGGCACCTCTCCGATGTGCTGAATGGGAGCTCCCTTCAACATGCCTAGAAACCCCTCTGAGAGGAAAGACCATGCTCAGCAGAAGGCGCCACAAACACCCGTGGGTTTGTTCCTCACCCCAACTACACTGGGCATTCCTCAATGTGACCACCATGTCTGATTCACCTCAGTCCCCTACGCCTGGCATCAGGCCCGGCCCAGAGCAGTCCACCCCCAAGGGTAGTCGGTTCAACCTCCCTTAGCAGCTGGCAGCCTCTGGAGACGAGAGGTCAGCATCTCTTCTTCTCTGAGGCCTGCTGGCCACAGGCCCAGGGCATGTACAAAGGAAGCAATCTGCTCCACAGAGCGCTGCCGCCATGTGACTTGATTCTGAAGTAAGGGGCAGTCCGTCCCCGCCTCTTTACCTTCATATTCTGAGGCCCCAAGCCGACCTTAGATTGGAGACAGAATGTTTCATTTATCCTGCCCTTGTACATGATCTTTAGGATAGCAGGAAAAGAAAAAGGCTGAAGAAGGAAGATTGTCAAGCTCTGTCATGTCAAAATAAAGGTGGGGCGCTCACTGACTACAAGCCAGTGGTCAGACCATCTGTCCAACTCTCTGGGCCTCTCTTCCCCACTCTAACACCAAAAGTACCTTGACCAAAAAGTCCAGACTAAACTGAAAGATATAACTTAGAACCACAGACATGGTCCTCCATAGCCAGTGACATTTCTAATAAGCATTTGTGATCACATTACCCTCCTGAGCACAGCTGTCCAATGGCTCCCTACTGCCCAGAGAATCCAGTCCATGCTCCTGAGCCTGGCCCTCCTGGTCCTTTATGAGCGGACCCCATGAGCCTGTGTGACTATGCGGAAGTCCTCATTGTTCAACACAATCTCATCCGTCATCTGGTCCTGTTTCCCTTCCTGGAGAACTGCAGCCTCCTCCTCATCTAAGCCCGACTCCAGAGCTGCCTGCCTTCAGAGCTTTCCTGATTCCCCCTCAGCCCTTCTCTTTGAGACCCTACCACCCTGGACTTCTCTGAGCCCTGTTCTGTACGATGTTACTCAAAACCTAAGTTCCATATGGGCAGGAATTACACCGTCCTGTGCATTGAGCCAGTGCTCACACAGAGGAGATGCTCAGGAAGCCTTTGTGGGGAGGTGGATGGGTCCAGGCAGCAGATGGGAAGGAAGTTTCCAGTCAAGATTAAGCCAAAGGGTAAGTCATCTCTATAGTCTAAGGGGTTGGCGAAATACAGCCAACTTTGGCAAAATACTCCCTACTTTGCAGGGGTTGGCAAACTACGGCCCTGTGTATTTGTAAATGAAGCTTTATCAGAACACAGCCATGCTATCTATTTACGTAGTGTCTCTGGCTGCTTTTGTGCTAACAGTGGCAGGGCTGAGCAGCTGTGGCAGAGACCACATGGTCCATAAAGCCTGAAATGCTCACTATCTGGCCCTTTACAGAAAAGATTTGTGGACACAGGTCTAAGGCGGTGCTTCCCATATATTTTCACATTTCACCTCTTTAGACGTGAGATTTGTGTAGCCTGCTGGTTAACAGTGAAGGCTGCTTGCAGCTAAGAGACACCTGGCCCTGGAGCTCTGGCCACCCAAAGGCTGACTGGATCCATGTCCACAGCTGCCACCTGAGCTGCAGTCCCCAGCAGAGCTGTAGGAAACAGGTGCAGAAACTCACGCTGGCCTTCAGCGCTCTCTGTCCATTTCGAAGCAAAAGTGGCAGCACTGGGACAGACCGAAAACTGACACCAAAAACCAATCCTCTGGTCACAAGTTCATGGTCCTTTCCGTCCTTCAAGAACTTGGGAAAGAATATCCACACCTTCCCATGGGCTACAGACTGTTCCACAGACGCTGAATCCAACAACCTCCAGCCCTTGCTTAGGTTAAAAATGAACAAAACCGGATTAACTTTTTGCCAAGCAAAAGGCCTCAGTATGAACGACCACCCGGTACCTGTGACTCCTGGCTGGAAAGCCCAGCCCAGCAGAAACTCGGAAAGGGTGAAGATGCTGATAGATCACAAGCCCCTCCCCACCCACCACCAGTGGAGAAGCCGGAGCGCTCCAGCATGATGGAGTGTGGCCCACCAAAGCCCCATTTCCTAGCCCAGTGGAGATGGCCCTCACTCCATTCGACCTCCTCTGTACCCTGTCAGTATCTTCCTCCACTCCCCTGCCTTCCCCCGTCCTGGTCAGAGACACCATTGTTCTCTCTCTTGCCCACTGAGCAGTGGTCCAGAAGTACTCCAGCAGGTCCCCTCCCCTGGATGGGTGCTGTTGTTCCTTGGCCCAGGGTTGGGGGCCATCATCTTCCCATCCCTACCCAGTCCGGCAGAGGAGCCTGGCCTGTGAGGAGATGTCATTCCTGCTTCTCCATCCCTCTGCTGCTGCACTCCATCAGCCTCCCTCATGCCTCACCTGGCCGATGGCAACAGCCTCGTGCTCATCAGTCCTCCCTCCTGACTCTGGTCCTTGGCTATCCAACTGTCCCAATCGACCCTCTGGAACTTACCATCGTGGAGGATGGTCATCACTGAAGGACACACCACCCAGGGCCATTCAAGAAGTGACTGCAAACTGTGTGTCCCACCTGCCACTTCACTCTTAACCATCTCAGGTCCGACGGCAAGGCCCTTCATGCTCTCCAAGTGGGCACACTCTCTCTGTGCATGCCAGGCCCGCCTCTGACTCCCCTCCTGGGGATCCCCTGTCTGTCTCAGTGGGAAGCCTATAGATCTTGGTAAATTACTCAGTAAGCACTTCTCTCCTGAGGCCTGGCTCCTCTGCTGCCCTCGGCAGGAGACCTGGGAATGGGTCTGCCAGCCCCCAGCCCAGAGCCGACAAGGAGGAGCCCTAGCAGGGAGGGGGAGACCCACTGAAGCCTTTCTGCCTGCACAGAAGAGGATGACTCTCATTCTGTTCAAATCCCCTGAGCCTCTTTCTTCCCCTCCCTGTACTCCCCATCTGGGTCAATGATTTCACCTTCTACTCAGTTGTCTAAGCTGCAAATTCTGACATTTTCTCCACTGCTCCTTCTGCCCCAACACAAAGCCTGGTAAGAAGCAGTAGGTGACGGTGAATGTTTTCTCTCAATAAATCTACGTGCCCAAGAAGGGAGACACGGTCTTGGCAGCATCACCAATCACATCAGAGTTCGTCCAAACTGACATTCCACAGAATTTCCTCTTTGCCATCCACACGACCGGCTTCTTGCTGGAACATGCCGATTACAGGGAGCTCATGTCGCACCTCAGCTGCTCTCTCAAGGCCGTGTCTGTCATCGCGGGAGGTGTATTTTAGCTCAAATTGCCCCACTGGCTTCCCATAATTGTCTTTTACCCTTTGGAACCACATACAATAAATAAACATAATCCCTTAAAAAATACCTGGCGGGAGTGCCCACGTTCTCTCCAGTCTCCTCTTCACCAGCCTTAACCTGGTCCTTCCATCTCATTTCAAGGTGCTTTCAGCTTTCCTGAGTTCCCCAGGTGCCAATTTCCATAGGTCTTTGACCTCCCAGATGATGCCTACCATATTCCTTTAACATAGCCTCTGCAGGAACGAGGGGTTTTAGAAAGCTGAGACTTCCGAGAAGTCCCATGACAGAAGAATCCAAGGGGATCCCAACACCAGATTGCTCTGGAAAATGTGTTATTGTGGCCGTGATCCCATGGGTTAGAGTACATGTTTGAAGGCCGAGCCAGGAACGGAGGATGTGGCCAAAAACCAAAACGTAGATGAGGCTGAACATAACATACTTCCAACAGTACATCCGCTGTCCGCCTTCCCAGCCCTGAGGAGCTCTCCAAGTGGCAATTAACGAATTTGCACTTTATTATAGGGTTCAGTTACAGCATGAAATGATCATCTGTAGAAACTGACCCCAACTGTGTAGCTGGCAAAAAAAAAAAAAAAAACCCAGGCTGCCGGGCCCAGAGCTGACCGTTTGGCCGCCTTGTCCAGTAGCACACGGACAAAGGAACCAGAAACATAATGAGCCAGGAAGGCTGGATTTTAGGGGGCTGAGGAAGGATCAGGGAGACATGGGTTGGTTTCTGCTTGGTTTCAAGGCGCACAGGGGATAGCCCAGAAGCCTAGAGGAAAGGTGAGCAGAAC